GAGCCAGCGAAAGTTATAAGAGTTTGTGTCTAACTTTTTATTATGCAGGTAATTTGATATGTTGTCAGGACAAATTGTCCTGATTTTAAAGTCTTCGGCCTGTGGGCCAACACAAGTGCTCTTTAATTTGGTTAGCTAGCTTTGGGGGTTTCCTTTTTTGGGCAATACAACTTGTGGAAAGTTACATAATTTGGCTTCCTTATTATGACGACGCAGCATAAAAAGTTCCGACATAATTTGCGAAGCCTTGCTCAGCTTTTGGCCTCATTTATGCACACATCAGTCATGTGAGTGCTGAAATTGGCAGTGCGCTCGTTACTTGGGGCTTTCAGAAAGCATCGAACATCATTTTGACAAGTTGTGCCAAAGAGAACTCTTTGGCATAGCGCACGCATAAGTTTTCACATGGCCGTAAGCCGCATGGCTAAATCTTGCCGAACGCAATGAGCCTTGAATGTTGCCAAAATTTCAAGCTGAAAAGCAACTCAAAATTCATGTGAATCATGTGTGGCGTCTATAGAGGGGGAGACGGGGGCGCACACAAAGCAAATTAGTTACGCCTAATTTGCAAGGCATTGTAGACAACAATCGAGCTGCTTATTGACTTTGTGAGTTTGTGACTGTGCTGTCGATACAGTTCAAATGGCAGCTAATATTTTGATTATATATATGCATAATGTGTGGAGAAGTCTTCCCTCTCAGCTCGACTTGACAGTGGGGACGAAGGCGGCCTGGCCAATTGATTGCCAGGGCGCACTTGACGTTTCAACTGCGGCATAATGGGGCGTATACGCGATGAAATTAAATTAAAGCCGCTACGCAAATGACGACACACACAGACACAGGCACAGACACACGCAGACAGAGACAAATCTACACAAAAGGCAAAGCCTGGGCAAAAGGATAAGGCAAATGCCAAGAGAAGCGAAGCCAAAGCCATTTCGCATTCGCATTATAAGTAAAGTAAGAATATTATGTGCTTCCAAAGGAAATGGGCGAGGCCGGATGAAATGGTCTGGGTAGCTTTATTGCTGCGTTTTAAATATATAACCTTAGTGTCGACTGCAGCCACCAAGAATACGAACAGAACAATGAGCTATAATTTATATGCCTTGCATTAATTTAACTCACGGCAACAAAACTTATCACCTGCTGGAACGTGGCCCACGACATCCTTTAGTCGGGGATCTAAGAACCCAGCTCGAGCGCTCGAGTTAACTTGTGCGTATCACTTGTATCTGTCGCAGCTGCGTGCAACTCTCATTGGTGTCGTTGCAATATTTAGCTAAAATATGCTACACTTTAACATGTTACGATGGAGCCGGAAAGGCTGTTTGAGCAGAGCACATCCCCCAGGCTGGATACAACAAGAGCTGCCTGTATAATTTAATAAGGTTTGGCAAATGTATTGCCAAGAGCAGGGCAAACACACACACGATAGCTGCTTACCAGCCCACCTGCCGCCTGCCTGCTATTGTTGCACGTTTTGTAGTTTTCGACAGGTGGGCTGTGCCATATAATTTCATTATACACTGGCAAAGGGTATAATAGCTAAGAGCTAGACTCTGAATTAGATTATACGACAGGGCACTGCCAGAGCTTAGTCATTATGGAATGTGAATTTTGAATGCTTCATAAGGCTTAGTTCGAATCAAATTGTTATTTTAGTTTTTAATATACATTTTGGCTGCAATTTGCTTAACAAGAATTAGAATTAGTTTTTCAAAAAGTCTAAATATGGTGAATGTGAGTATGATATTAAATAGGGGCGTGACACAGCAGAGCTGGAAGCTGTTCTAAGTACTAAGAGACAATAGAATTAAGACTACATCAATTTCGGCGGGTGTTTTCTTTAGAGTGGTATAAGTTTAAATTATAATTAAATATAAAATTAAATTTTTAATATCAATAAAATTAATTTTATTTATATATATATTTAATGACATTTTAGTCCAAGCAAAACTGAGCCAAAAACAATTATGAATTACTAAATCAGATGTCAAAGAAAGTAGCGCTCTTAACTCAAAATTCTGTCACACTAAAGAGAGCAGCCTTTATTCATATTGAAAGGCTTAAGTCTTACCTTGGCTAGTTAGACCTTCCACTTGAGCTTCTATTAAAACTGAAAGTTCTATCGCCAAGCAAAGATAAAGCAGTTGAGCACAACAAATTTTAAATATCAAAGCATAGCAAAGAAATGGAAACAATAAAATGCAATTACTTAGCGTATACGCAATTCGTATGGCAATTTCGTTTTATTTTATTTTATTTCTCACTTGTGGTGTTTAAATTGAAGCCAAAGTGTTTGCCGGTCGTCTAGTGGGCTTCGTAAACTTATATATATCGGAAGCTATATCATTTGTGCGGCTAATGCAATACTTTTGTGCCTTATAAATTACTTAGTAGCATTTAAGTGCTGAAATGTTTTGTCGGTTAGTTTGGTGTTGGCATTTGACTTCCCAGTCCGGTTCATAAATTTCAATTTATCTTTGGCTCCCTTTCCTTATTTATTTGCAGCTGTTGACAAGTAACATTTAGCCTGGGGCTGGGGGCGGTGTTTCGCGTGTGCTCTAGGCACACTTTAGCTCGCCCCGCCCATTTGCAAAGTGACCTTAATGGAATGTGTGCAAGAAGGCTACACTGAGTTTAAAAGGCTTTCTGGCCTGGCCTTTCTTTTGCCTCTGCCTGACGCTCAAAGTAGTGCAACAGTTTATGACAGACCTTTTGTAGCTTCGTCTCGGCGCCCAAGGCCAGCCGAGGGATTTGTGCTTAAGGATAATTTCCAGCTGGCACAGAACAAAAAAACTTTAACGTGAAATAAAGTACTGTGAGGCTACGAAATCGTCGAATGCTGAGCGATTATCAGAAACTAGTTAAACTTTGCTTTTCTCTTTCTTAAATTTATAGATTTTGTTTTTAAAGAAATTTAATTAAAAACGATTTTTATCGCTCGACTTAAATTCTCCATGGACGAACAATTGAAAGGAGGAAGGAACTTAATCAATTTGGATATCATTACACCATCCAACGAAGCATAGTTTCTGTTATGGCGTTAACTCCTCGTTTGCATGCCGCATTGTTCTATTCAAGAAGTTTTCATTTAAGTTGGATCCGCCCAGTTTTTCCACTTTGCCATTTCACCTGGGGGCCACTGGGCTGGATGGAAATGCTTCAAACAAGTGCATGAAAAGTTCAACACTAGACAACAAGCAACACAAAAAAAAAATGAAATAAAAAGCTGTGAAGGTAAAAAAAGTTGTACTCATTACCTTGCGGCTGTCTAAAGGATGTCTGTCCTGGCTGCATGTGCTGCTTATGCGTGAGTTACTCTCAACGGCAGACGCCGGCAGTTGAGGGTCGAGCGTTGGGCGCTGGGCGCTGGGCGCTGGGCGTTGGCTTAATCTGGAAACCCAAGTCAGTAACGGCAAACTTTTGCTAACCCACTCAGACCCTCGAGATGTCGTTTGCGGTTTGTGTGCGTCCGACGCTCTGTCAAAAAGTGTCTGCATCGCTGAAAGCGAAAACTGATGGCAAGCCCAACCATACCCAACTGGAGCCAAATCCAAACTTAGACGCAGTCCGACACCCAATCCAGCCCCAGTGCCGAACCTCGAAGTCGCTGCCAAGCCGCACTTGCCAGTCGAGCTGAGTGCAATTCACATGCATAGTTTTTCGAGTACAATTAAGTGAAATTCGTATTAGTTGTGTTTGAGCATGTGAAAGGATGTGAGATGCTCGAGAGCTGGTGAGAAACATGTGCCATGTGCGGCAAAAGTATTAGCTAAAAGGACGACACGACGAGCTGGCAATAGCACAAAAACAAACTTGGACACGTTGCATGGCCAAGCCATGTACGCCAAACTGTGGCTGCCACTGCTGGCGCCATCTACAGTTCGTACTCGGAAAGTTGTCGCTTGCTGCTCAGATAATGTGGCTAACATGTAACACGCGCTCGCATACAAAGCATGTCATTAAAAGTTCTCCGTCCCCCTCAGCCACCCACGCACACACGACACACTTTCAACAAGCTGAGAACAACTAATTCTTAAGCAATAACTTATTAGTTTTGTCCCAAAACGGGCAAATACTTGACAAACCTGGCAAAGTTATTGGCTTTCAGGTAATTACCTTGAACCACTTTATCGAATACTGTCTAGCCAGGATTTCCATGTCGATGTTTGCTATATGCTCGATGACAAAAACCTTCTTTAAGCAAAAACTTTAAGAAAGAATTGCTGTAAGGCACAACTCAGCAAAATAAAATATTAAATTCTGCTTTAATCAGCTTATTCGGTCTTCTGTTTACAATGCTGTGAAGGCTTCCTGAATGCAATTCTTGTAAAATATATCCATGCAGCCTTAGCGATTGTTATTTCATATAGCATTAACCAAAAAATGTCCATCAAGTTTGCCAAAAGCAAAGACTGGCGCCAATAAATATTTACTTTAAGGCGCACGCACACACACACAACGAGGTTGGCCAGGAAGACACAATTACATGAAATTATGTTTGCACAACAGGGCTGGGTCGCTGGTCGCTGCCAGATCCTCGGTTCTTGCCGGTGTATCCAATTCCATTAAAATCAATTTGTCTATTTATTTTACCGATAATCTGGTGGAGCGTTTGGCTGTAAAATTTCGCACCGCAAATGGCCCCAGCGCTGGGTGGACCTCTATACCTCAAAAGCCTCTAATATGTCAACATCAGGCGAATGGCAGCGCAAGACCAAACAGGACGACGCACAGCACACAGCACACGGCCCCGAACAGGACAGCTGAAATGTTATAATTTGAGCAATGTTTCGCCTTCGCATGCCCCTAACCGCAATGTCGATTTATTACGGTCGGAACGTTTTGCGTTGAAGTCCAACGTGTGTCGTGTCCTTGCCGTCAGTCAGCAGACAACATTTGGGGACATTTATATAGTGGCATATAGCCCATGATGAGATCTAAGTTGCCCTCGACTCAATTATTTATATATATATAAACTATGTACTCACCTCAAAGTTACAGTTAAAGCGAAGTAGACTTCATCACTGCAAGAGAATAACAATGAGAAATTGGTTATTAAGCTATAGAGAGGCAAATGGAGCCAAGAAGCTAATGAGAGGCACGTAATGAGCTGAGCTCATCAAAGAGCCACAAGCTCTTATTTAATGTAATTTAAATGTGAAAACCTGAAAAGCTCAACTGAATTTCCAAGAAGGCGTCGCCGAGCCTTTGATGTATAACAAAGCAGCGGCAAGTGAACTTGATCTGCCTAGCGCAGCGGCAAGCTTGCATGGGAAGCGTTTAATGAGACAGGCCAGCTGGATTTGGAAGGGTTCTAACAAAGCGAATCCAAATCTAAAATTAAATTGGACTTACTTTTTTTGACATGCTAAATCTGAATCAGAGTCAAATTATGGCAGGTTTCAGGGCACAACTGAGGCGCTGTAAAATGAAGACACTTTTTTTTTTTTTTAAGTAGACAGTGCTCATGCCTTCAAAATCCTTTATAAAAATTGAATAAATATTTTATTTATTTATAACTCAGTTGACATTTGTTGAATGAAATTAGTCGAAGCAGTGGCAGAAGCTTGAGTGTGGCCATTTTATTTATAGCGAATTATTTTTTATTTTTATTATCTGCTATATATATACATATACATATATATACATAAACTATATATATACATATATACATAAATATACATAATATATATAAATATATATACATAAATATATAATGTACTTTTTCGAGATTCGAAATTATATGCATGATAGGAGTTGGTTGTAGACAGATGATATTCCACTGACAGGAAAACTTTTGCTCGAAATGTTAAAAAGATTGTTAAGGTGAAAAGCAGAGCCTTAAGAGACACGTTTCTGTTTTGGCAAAAAAACATATAGCAGCTTTTACAGAGCCCCAAGTTTTGTTCTTTATTTAACTGCTTTAAGCTTGGATAGCACATGGAATATCGAAAATATGAAGTTACTGGACAAAAACCTGCCTGACGCACGCTAACTAAATTTCATCAAATCTTCGCTTAGTCTGTCTTATGCAGCCTGCCACTTTTAGCATTATATCTTCATATACATGAATATATAGTGTCACATGGCGACATCCATTCAGGTGACTTGTTAGGGCCTTTACGACACTATTAACATCATGGTGCTTGTGATTTATGGATATAGTTCAATAGGCGTTACGGCTCTTGTTCTTTTGAGCCATTTATCTCTGGCGTTTTTGTGTTTTAATAGTATTTTTATGGTCAGCCATAAAAGTGGGCAGGCGGGCGGGCTGGCAGTCGAACGACCTTGCGCGCCTAGAAACAAGCCAGCAGAAGCCATTAACTGGAAGTCAAACGAAAATGAGCAAAAGGCCAAACAAGAGCTGCTTTGTTGATTTTGACATATGAGAATGATAATGTCAGCTGGCATTAATTGTGCCAGGCATTTTGATATACTCTCTAAGCTGGGCTATAAACACCAGCGCTATGCGTTTGACTGACGCATTTTATGCTTGGCTAAATTGATTTCTTGTCTAGTCTTTCGCATAAATAATTAATATTAAGTTGGCCCAGCTCGCCTATAACTAAAAGTCGCATATAGAGTGTGCTTGAAGGTTTGTGTTGATGTTTGTAGAATTTCGAGTTCTTTGTTTAATGGGCTAAATGCGTTTGCTCACTTAGCAGCGTGTTGTGCTTGTTGCTCATTTCTTTGGGCCGGCCGTTCTCACTGCGGTACATCAATCAAATGCCTCCATAGCACTTAGCAGCCGCAGGAGCCGACTCGACTGCTGGGCAGCTGGGCAGCTGGGCAGCATCTGGACGGCGTAGTTGTTGTGCTGCTGCTGGTGTTGGCTTCTGCTTCAGTGCTTCAATGTGCTGAGTTGACAGTTTTCTCATTGGGTTTTTTTCTCTATGCCAGGCTGTAACGCGGTCACTTGATGCGCAAATAATTGAAATTAATAAATTGAATTTAATTGAAAAGCGTTGGACAACTTAAGCACTTAAAGGCAGCCGTGGCCCCAGTCGAGCTCTCCAGAGTCAATGAGTTGTGCTCTCAGCTGGTCTTTAACGTGCTCGCAGAGGAAATGAAGCAGCCGCACAGCTGTCTGCCGCCGCCATTGCCGCTGCCTTTCAATTTCAATTTCCGTTGCACTTTGCATAAATCTCTTATCGTTTGAAAGATGGTAACAACTTGGCTGGGCTGTTTTTTGGGTGCGCTGTTTCGGTCCATTTTGCGACGGTGTGCGAAAGTTAATCGTCAGCTGTGCGGCACTCAGTGTGCATGAAGACCATTTGAATCACAATACGCCCCAACGAAACTGGGCTACAGTTGCAGCCGCAGCTGGAGCAGAGTGAGGCCACGCAGCAGCCTTGCCGACTGCATTTGCTCTGTGCAGTTTACTGTTTTGCTGTTTCTTTTCATTACTTTGCCTGGAAAATGATGCGACTAAACAAGAAGCGGCACCAGCTGCTCGACTCAATGGCCAACATGACGTATACGTAGTTTTTGCTTCAACTAACTTTCTAAGCCGAAAACTGTTCTGCTCAAATTTAATTTATGCACTGGCAAACACACGAAAAAAAAACAAGCAAGAGAGAGAGAGGGAGAGAACTGCTGCAGCATAGACGGCACTCGAGTGTAAACCACAAACTGCACAACATGGCGTATACGTAATGCGAGTGTTTGTGTGCTTGGCATTTATGAAAAGTTACTTTTTGGCCTGATTAGATCATGTACATGAACCACTGCTCGAGTCATTGACTTCAAGCTAAAACATTTTGCGCTTAGTTGTATTTATCTTAATATTTCACTGCCCGATGATGATAAATTCAATCTTTCAACCAGAACACTTAGTTTAAGCTATCAATCAAGCCATCCAAATCATTTGGCAAATAGATTTCAAAGCCAGTTAACTTGCAGCACTTATGATTATGTAGTGAAACGAAAAACCAATTAGGTAATTGCCGTCGAGGCAAGGCTTAAACAAAAATAAGCCAGCTTAGCTAATTGAGCTGAAATAATAGATATAAAAGAAATAAGGGAGGTGGTACTACTCGACTAGGATATAGATATACCAAAGCCATATTGAAAAAAATAAATATATTAAAGCTATATTATAAATATATTAGATTCCACGTCTCAGCTTTTATAGTTTAATGATCAGACGGTTCAGTTCGTTGCTGTAATTAAGAATATATATGCTTAAAGGGTCCTGACAACCCTCCTTCCGTCCATTCCATACATTCTCATAAACTACCATTTCTAATGCGTTTTATGTATACAAAATCGTTTAAATGCCTTAACAATTAAGGTAAACGAGCTTAAGTTGTACATGGCAAGGTATTCACAGCGCCGCTCAAATTAATAGGTTCAACTTATTTCAGCAATTCAAAAAGTACTCTCTCTTCAAGGAAAACTCTTATGGAAATAAAATAAAGTAGATTAAGAACTTAATCAGTTATAAAAATGAAAAGTTTCTGGACCGTAAATTTAGTTTTGATTTCAATTTGTTTGTTTAACAACATCCAAAAATGCCTTATCTGAATAGGTTTGGCTGCAAAATTGATTTTAAAAAAACGACTTAATGTTTTCATGACAGTATTTAGTATTTCAACAAAGGTTTTCTTTATAAAAAATAAAATGAATTGCTTAAAATTTTAAATTACAACAAAAAGTACTAAAACCTTTTCAGATGAGTCAAAAATATTCCAAATTGTAAATTTCATAATCAAATTTATCAGAGCAAGCAAGAAAACATATAATAAAAAAAAAATATTTATGTATATTATCTATACATTATATATATTTGTATTATATATAAAATAAAGTTCAATATATTTTGCTTGTATTATTTTTAATTTAAAAACAGTAAAAATATATATTAATATAAAATATATAAAAATACATTTAATTAGTTTAGACCTATTATTTTTATAATGTAAAAATAATGAATGAAAAAGATACTTTATTTATTTTCATACTTCAAATTTTTAACGATTCATTAACTCGCATTGCTTAATAGCCCGTAATGAATTGGTGTTTAAGGGATATTTCAAAGCTGAACAAATTTCTTTAATATGTCTGCTGACACTTGACAGGCTGAATAAAAAGTAAAACATCGGCAGACGCTGTGGGTCGAGCTGTCAGCAGTTCGATGGCTTAATTATAATATTTTGTAAAAAGGTTTTTTATTTGCGCACTTTATGAATCGCTGAACGTGACGAGGCGGGGCAGGCTGAGGCTTTATTGTGTAGCAAACGCGTCAGTCGATTTGAAGTTTGAAGGCGTCCTGTCCGGAGCTGAAACACAAGTGATTTATTGGTTGGTCTCACCTGTCGTTTGGTTTTGCTTTTGCCTCAGCCTTTGCCTTTGGCTTTGAAAAATTGGTTGCATATAAGCAATTGATTGCCTGAACTTTATCATAATGACAGCAAGTTGTTCACGTTAGTGTGTATGTTTATTTGCTTGTGCGCGAGTGTGTTATAGGCTTACCACAAGCAGTTAGTCAACGTGGCTTACGAAAGTCGCTTTGCAGCCAGACAAAGTTTCGCCTGAAAGCCGGGCAAAGTTTTTACAAAATTCCAAATTGGCGGTCGTTGGCTGAGCTGTTATTTTTAGATAAGACCCACAGCATGCATTATCTGAAACTGCCTAAAAGACGCCCAGCCCCTAACCCAAGCGTAAGCCTTAAAGCCAAATCAAATAACCAAATAAGTGTGCATGTGTCGTCAGCCCATAACTCCTCATAGCTGAAAAGTGAAAACTTTATCAAAGTTTCAAGTGTATATGAATTTCAGCATAGATCGTTTGCGCCCACATTAGCTGAATGCCATCCAGGTAATGCATAGATGGCTTTCTTCCTGGACAATTCACAGCTCACTTGGCCCAAAGTTGGTAATTAAAAAAGTTGCCTCGCTGCCTACTTGACGAATGAATCGTTTGCAGCATAAGTCTGCACTCTGGGTTAATTAACTGGGCTAAAAGGCAACATACACTCGTGTCTGTAGCTGAAATATCATAAATGTGCTCAAAGCAAGTGTAT